TCGCGCGGTCTGGAAAAAGACATTCGAGGTCGAAAAAAAAGCAACTCTTGAAGACCATTTGCACAGTGCACACCAGCTGAACAGGACACCACAGCTTTCCAAGCCAAGTTTGGGCTTGTTCAGCTTCTGTACGTGTGGTCTACCGAGCAAAATCGCCAAATCAAACTTGATTTGGTAAAACGAATGGTTTCGAAGAACTGCAACCATTGCGAAGGCGAAGATGCTGAGAGCGTCTTGTGGACGATGTCGCGTGGATTCTCACAGGCAGCATTAGGAGCCTCCACGAAGGGCTTCGGTTTGCAAAAGGGACTCCATCTTTGTCTTGGAAGCCTTCGAAGGTGAAGAGTCAAAGGGAGCTTCGAAGCTCGCGCTGAAGGTCCGAATCTTCGAGCCTCTCCGAAGCCTTCGAAGCTCTCTGCGTTCTTCAAAGCCTTTGAAGTCCTTCGCCTTCAGCTTTGAAGCCTCTTTTCAAGGGGAAGAGTCCCGTGTGCTGATTTGGAAAAAGGTTTTTAGGAAAGGCTTGAGGATTGGTTTTGTGCATTTTATTTGTTTGCATCGCTTTGAAAAGTGCTTGGTTTCTTCTTGCGTTGTTGTTTAGAAGTTAAAGTTTGCAGCTTCTCGTCAGCTCCAAAAAGGTTTTTGTTTCCGCCTTCCAATCGCAGGCAAGATGATCCGTTTTCGAAAATGGAACGACGACAGTGCTCTTGTGCACAGTTATTTTTCGACTGAATACGGTCTTCCGCCATCAAACGATGCGCGATTTCGTGTGACTTTTTCTGGTTTGTGTCGAAGAAAACGTTTTCTTTGCATGTGGTCTTTCTCGTTTTTGGAGAAGCTTTGCTTGATAAATTTGTTTTCCTCGTTCTCTTTCTGACTTTGATGTGCAGCTGCAGTCTTCAACATCCGTCTATCCCTTCGGAGCCGGGTTCCTTCGTAGAATTAATTGCAAGCCTGCTCTGAGTTGTGCACCTCTGGACTGCTTTTCAATCTATATGCACCGATGTCTGGCTCAGCCAATTCTTTGGCTGCTTTGAAGCCTTCTCGCACTTCTTTTTTGTCCAACCTGACTTCCTCCGTACAGGACTGTTTGAAAGCCACTTCAGTTCCAGTTCCCTTGGCACACCTCAAGATCTGGCTGCAAGAGGCTGACAGCAGAAAAGACTTCTGTGTGGTGGCTCTCGGCTAGTCTCCATCTGGGTCATGGAGGCGAAGGCTATCTTGGCGAACGGGCTGGCTTGGGCCAATCAATGTGCGCGCTGGCAAGGCTGAGTGACTCACGGAGCATGTCCAAGGCCTGTGCCTGCTCTTCCTCAAAAATGGGATGTTCTGGGCAGCTGAGGCTGACATGACTGAAGACCCTTTGTGCTAAATTATGTTCGGCTCCTATTTTAGCCATGCTTGGGAGGCAGAGGCTAAACCGGATGGGTTTGGTATGCTGTGGCGAACTGGCTGACCCTGCCCCCGTCGCAGATGGGCGGTCGGTGTGCGACAAATGGTTTTGACTTTCAGTAGGCTTGGGAAGGAGATGTTGTCCAGGCCATGGCCTCCAGCGCCATGAGTTCACAAGTCTGAGGACATGCGGTTTTTGGTTGCATTTTGTTTGGCTTTGTGTGTCGCCAAAAAAATGGGGAACACTGCTTTTAGTTGCGACTCATTCTGGGGTCCACAAGGAAGCTCGAAAGCTGCGCGAATTTTTGCCGAAGAGACACGCAATCGTTTCAGTCTTTTGCTCCACACGCGGTGCAGTGACCACTACCGACATGAAATGGTTCGATATTTGTTTGAAGACCATGCGAATGCGCCGTTGAATGGCAAGTCGTTGGTGCTGAACTAGTACTTTGGAAGGACCATGGCTGCAACTGTACGACGAGACACAGAGCACCGTGCTGCACTCACGAAGCCTCCCAACACGCTGTGCATGCAACTGCATCGGGTTGAGGAGGGCTCGATAAATAGCTTCGTCATGCCATGAGGTCGTGCCATCCCCCAAGCTGCAACACCTTTCAGGAAGGCATTGAAACTTACATGACGAGCTATGCCTTGCAATCTGGAGTGTTCCACAGTGACACACACGCAGAACCGGCCACTACCGGGCCTTTGAAGCAGCGATAGCAGCAACAAGTGTAGAGTCCGCTTCTGTGTGTCAACAGATACAAACGGCCCTCACGCAGGGTGCCGCACACCCGGCCATGAATGTGCATGACGTCGATTTTCCAGTAGTGACTGCCAGGCCGAGATACACAATGTATCAAGGCTAATAATTGTTATTTGCTTGTTTACACCAGGCTGCCTCCCCTCACCGCCCCTCCCCTCCCCTCCCCTCCCCTCCCCTCCCCTTCCCTCCCCTCCCGTCCCGTCCCGTACCCTCCCCTCCTCCCCTCCCCTCTCCCCTCCCCTCTCCCTTCCCCTCTCCCCTCCCCTCCCTCCCCTCCCCCTTCCCTGAAACCCCTCCACCCCACCCTTCCCCATCCTTTCCGTCAAATGAATGTTGCTCACAGATATTTGGACACGTGAAGTTGCAATCAAACTAGGAGATGCTTCATTTTTTTTCCTCCGAAAAGGGCAGGGGGGGTTGAGTGGTTTGGAAAAACCCTCCGTCCTTCCACAGCACAAGCAGCACAAGGCTGCCAACGACAATTCAAAGCTCAAAGCCAGACATGCTCGCACCAGTCGTTTCCCATCTTCAAGGTCCGAGCTGCTAGGTCATAAGCCTGCTGTTGCAACGTGTCTTCACCGCACCAAAAATGATTAAAGATCTGTTCGGCGGATCTTTTCATTCACACACGTCCATCGCGACAACGGTTCGGCGTACCTTCGGCGCGGCCAAATGGTTCGCCGGGAACGGAGCGGATCTTCACATATGGAATAGAGTTCTTTACATTGAATGTAAGACCCCAGCTTGTGGCTTTGCGGAAAGCGAGAGAACACAAAGACGGGAACAAAAGCACAAAGCTGGAGCATAGCCCCGCTTTAGCAAAAAACGCCGTCGAACAAAAATATTGCCAACAAAACGAACTTGGAAACAGTCATCATACACGGCATGGCTGTCAGGCGGAATGCTAGGAATCCGCATCGGGCAATAAACTTTCAATGCACGTTGCATCAACAGCTCAAAAGGCTTTTGCAACCAGCCTGAAAGCGCAAATTGGCAGCCAAGACACGGAACGCCTCCAGCGAACGCTTGGGATAACGAACTTTGTGACACCCAGCAGCGTGTTGCAAAATTGCAAAACATACGGTTCAAAGGGTTAAGTCTTTTGCGAAGGTTTGCACCAAGTGAATCAAGCACGAAGCATGTGTCAATGTGCCGCTGCAGCTGCGGTTTCAAGGTTCAAGGTTTCTAGCACAAGAGTCAAGCACACACCTGTGTATGATCCTTGTCCCTTTACGAGCCGTGTATTTGTTTCTGGGCTCGCTGGGCGAGGAAAAGCTCCAGCTGGTGACAAGTTTTCCAGCTGGCTGAAGAGCACAAACGCATGCATGTGCCTTCCCTACCTGTTATTTGAACAACTGGCTTTCGGAATGTCCGTCGACAGGTTTAGTGTTAGTTTCCCGGCTTCGGTCATAGCCGTGACTTGCCAGCGCCCATAGAATATCTGTGTTGATTTGGACAGTTTTTGTTTGGAGAGAGAGCAGCAAGATCGATTGCAATTTAGCAGCGGTTCAGAGACGGGGTCCGATTTTTTTAGCCGTGGCCCTGCCCGGAGCCAGGCCTGCTTGCGAATGGCTTACAAGAAGTGTCCGACATGCCGTTTCTCTTTGCAAGGCAATCTTGCGAACGCCAGAAGCAATGGCATCCACAAGGTCTGAACCTTGGATTGCGAAACTGGAGCTGTTTGGAAGGAGTACATTGCCATGGCCTTGCAATGCCTTCATGGGTTCCATAGGTCGGCACTTGCCTGCAATTCTTACTGGTGTTGGTTACTTGGCTCGGAGTAGGCAGTTTATGTGTGGCAGCAAAGACGCCAACACGGCTCGTTGTGAATAGCACGGGCTTCACAAGCTGCAAGCCATGTCAGCGCGACCACGGATTCGGCTTGAAGCCGATGGGCTCCCAAGCATCGACTTTGCTGTGAGATCGCCCAACGTGGATGACAGCTCTTCAGAGGAAGGACAGACAGGTTTGGTGCATGCAGCAGCGGCGATTGACGAGGCTGCCTCTCCGAGTGCGGCTCCAGACATGTATGTGCATGAGGCCCAGGTCAACCCAACACAGATGGATCCCAGTGCCGAGACGCCTCCGGAGAAGCCTCGGGTGCCCGGGTCGCCTCCGCCTCTTGACATCGAAGCCGGGCTACATGAAGCGCGGGGTGCTTCTCCGCTCAGTGGCCATTTGCGAACCATGCCTTCTCCGCTGCGGACTGGGCGGAGGTCACTTTCACCCAGGGAGGCTCGCGATCGTGGAATCCGCACAAGTGCAGAAGTCATTCCAGAGAATGATCGCGACATGAATCTAGGGGAGTCGCGAAACTTTGTGGAGGACAGCCTGATGGGTACATCGCCTTGCACGGAGCATTCCATGGATTCTTTGGCGTCTTTCTTTCGGGACGGGCATTACTTTGTACCTTTGCGCTTGTCATCGGTCGACGAACCGTTGGCAGAGCCGGCTCGACACCATCGAGAGCATGATGTCACCGCTGAAAGCTTTGAGCATAGGACGCCATGTGTGGCTTCCTTCCCGTGTCCCCTTACTTGTGGAGGCCCCGGCAGTCTGATGAGTGGATCAGGCCGGGGCGCTTTGGTCCCTGCATTGCCCAGCGCCATGGGTATGCCTGAGCCTTCAGTGCGGCAGAGAGAGGTGGAGCCGTCAGTGGCGCCAGCTTTACAAGAGCTGCAAGAGATGAGGTCCACACGGGTTGGAGTGCCACGTGTTCCTGGGCCAACAGAGTCGGTTGATCTGCCCGGATATGAGAGGAGGCAGGCACATCCGCGAAATATGCCGCATCCAAGCAGAGCTCCTGTCCTGGCAGATGCAGTCCAAAGCGCAGCGGCTCCGTCAGTGCGGCATTTGCCAAGTTCGGCTTTCACTGCTGGTGATGCGAGGGTGCAAGAAGGGCTTGGTGCCCCTCTACCAAATCCTAGTCGACCCAATGACGTGCCACCTTATGCCAGAACGACAGGAGTGCCACCTGCGACCGAGAACACTGTGCCAACAGCTGAAGGCCCTGGCAGGCGGCTTGGGGAGGGCTTGCCGGACTTGCGCACCTCAGGTCCCATGCCCTCCACATCGCAGCTACCCTCCCACAGCGGCACTGGGGGGATGCTGTCTGTAAGCAGCATGGCCCCGGCACCAGCACCCGGCTGGGGGTTTGCCGCAACCTCGGGACACTTGCCTTCCGGGCCTCCACCAGCAGCCAGGCCTCCAGTGCCATGTGGCATTGCCCAGCTGGCTCAAGCCCCAGCGGCGGCGCCTGGCCTGCCACCTGGCCTGCCTCCTGGCCCGCCACCTGCCCCGTGTCTCGCACCCAACATGTACACAAGTTCAGGCCATGCCGTTCCGTTCCAACGAGACTTCGCAGGAGTGGGAGTCGCACCACCGCCACAGGCCTCGCAAACTGCTGTGCCTGCACCAGTGCGAGCTTGGGGAACTCAGGGGCCAATGGCCGCAGCTGTGCAAGTGCCTTGGCCATTGCAGGGCACCATGGCAGGTCAGCCAACGGCAGTGGCACCGGTTCAACCTGTCCGAGCTGAAGTCTGCACAGCCGGTCGCATGCCAACAGCTACAGTTGAAGATGCCTTGCCGGCATGTGGACAGGGTGCGGTGCCCACCGAACCTGAGCACCCAAAGCCCAAAGAGTCGGTTCAAGCGACGGCAAGCCAGGAGGCACCGCTGTCTGCACGCAAAGAAGGGCCGAAATCCAGCGGTCCCATTCCAGCTTCAGATTCAGCTCCAGAGCAGAGCCAGCAGAGCCAGCAGGGCCAGGAGGGCCAGGAGGGTCAGCAGAGCCAGGCGGGCTTAGAGCCCGAGCGGCCAAAGCTCGCGCAGCCCATACCTGAGGCACCAACTTTCTCTGCTCCAAGCCCAGCGGGCCCAGCCCCGGCTTCCCCCACACGCTCACCCTCTTTCGCTGCGGGCGTCCCTGACATGTCAAACCTCGTCCACGACGGACTCCCTGATATCACCACGCCTCCTCCGCCAGATATGATCGAGAAGGGGCAGCAGACTACACCAGATAAGAACTTTGACGCCCAGAGTAGGAGGAGGAAGCGTGCTGCACTAGAGAAGACTCGACTTGCCAAAGAGGGTCGATTTGCGCTTGTCACTGTCGGCATGGATAAACTCAAGTGCCTGAACCAGCCAGGCCGACCGCGTCGACATCAAATTCGTGTTCTTGAACACTGGCGCAATGAGCGTGTGCTCTATGAGAGGGTGCGTGGGTCGACGATGCCGACAGTGTGCGGAGTTGTTGTGGCACAGCCATGTGAGAAACGAGATGTGGGCAAAGATGCTTCACCGGAGCGAATCCCAATCGAGCTCACCGCCAAGTTTGGAGACGTGTTCAGTCCCTGCAGCAGCAGAAAGTCTGACATGTCATTCCAGCCCGGTGGGCTCGAGGACGACGATGGTGAATCCAAGTTTGCAAAAGCGAGACGCCAGCGGCGGCGACCCCTGTCAGTGGAGCGAGCTGCCAGAGCAGCAAGTGCGGCAGCAGCTTCTGCCTTGGCTGCAGGTGCACCCGACAGAGCTTTGCCAAGGAGAACGCCCACGGGCTTCGTCGAAGTCCCAGCAGCAGCAGGTTCCACGCATGCATGTGGGATCAGAGTTGGACTAGAAAATGGGAAGTGGATGTGTTGTGATATCCACATCCCTCCACGCTCCTTCAATACTCCAGAGGAGCTCGCCGCAAGCAGATCTCTCCTCATCTATGTCACCTCGTGCGAGCCTGGAGCGCTCACGGCAGCGATCGACACGAACATCGTTGAGCTCTCCTCGGGGCACTCCCTCGTGATCCGGGCAGGGCAAGAGTACTGCTTGCGGAACTCGTCTGCTGCAACAACAGCCCAGCTCAAGATGGTGTTGATCAATCAAACGATGCCGTCATGATCCGCGATGCCTGCCTTACAAGCACTTGAACAACGCATCTAGGGGTCAGGATGCAAGGGTATCTAAGGGTTGATGGGGACTGGGAAGCTGTGATCGCATCAGACAGGAGAAGCACAGCGAAAAGACAAACAAAGTTGGCCGCATTCCTGCTTGCAACGGGTTGCAAGTTTGACATCAGCTGTAGCAACCACATGACAATGCATGTGTCAGAAGGGCCGGCGATAAGTTGCGCCAAGGTTGCACCATGAAGTCGAAGTGGGCGCATGCAGCCCAACGCTCGGTCGGAGTTTTCCAGGGACTTGGGGTGTTTCAGTGCAGTGGTAGGCTGTGGAAGATGTGGAAGATTCTGCTAAGGGCGATGCCGTGCAGCAGCATGAAGCCACGCTGCCACGAGCTTATAGTTGTGTTTGAATGCTGCTTATCTCACTGAGGTGCCGAAATTACCATCGTTTGTGCGAGTGTTTGTAGTACGTTGGTGTCTCTGGTAGTCTCATACTTTGGATGAAAAAAGTGGGATGCTTTCGAAAAGATGCACCGTGCTCACGGGATGGAACTGCCTTCACTGGTTGGAATATCTTTGGGGTCTTGCCTCTGTGAAAGAAGCTCAAATTGGAGTATCGTGCGAGTCGCGTTCCTTCACTGACCGCTGCTCCCCGGGCCGAGGCGGATGGCTCCTCCGCGTGTTCGGATCCATAGTCTTAGCCCGGCTCATTCTGGAATTCTGAATCATTCAATGTATAGTGTTCTGTTTTCCAGTTGCTTTGGTGCAAGAGGACATTCGGGAATTGCTAATCATGATGTGCATGTTCAAACGTTGAAACGCTGCGAGTCCTGCCGAAAATAGACATGTTTTGTCCGCCCCTCCTGAATCCGGACTTTGTGGGACAGTGGCAAAATGCCATAGTGAGAAAAAGTCTCGACTGCCGGGTGTCGATTGCATCGCGAGTTCTTCCATGAAATTGAATGATGTGTGGACTTGCAACCAAGAGTCTCGCCACATGCAATGCACGCGTGTTTTGAGCAGATCTGTTGTGAACCGCGGCATGTCTGTCTGCAGTTCGAGATTGATCCTCGAGCAAGAGTTCATCATGGGATCCAGTTTGTGAGTTGGCCAGACGGTTCCGAAGAAGACAGTGTTGTTTCAGAACTAGGATGCCAAGGGTTGTGTCGATGCCAGCCTGTGCACCTTATGAGCAGGGCTTGGTCATGCTTGCTGCAAGTGCCTAAGCATGCAAGTCTGAGTTGGGTGCCTTCCTGCTTGTAATTGCGAAGTTGGGAGTTTTGAGATGTCGCTTCACACGACAATGCCAAGCTTTTCGTCGCATGATATCGAGAAGTGTTTATTGCTTTCGGCTGCTTGAGGCATGGGCTTGCTGTTGGGCCTACATCCACAGCTTCTTTGATGCCACGCTCGTTTTTCTTTTCGTGTTGACGATCTTCCGGCCGAATGGGTGCCACGTCTTATCCTGATGTAGAATCTAGAGCATTGCAATTCGTGTCGAAGCTGCACAATGCTTGATGGACATCCCTGCTTAAACTTGACATGAGAACACACTGGCTGCAACTGAGGCTTTCATGTTTGATGAATTTGCTGGTCTTGGGAGCTCATTACGGTGAGTGCCTCGTTGTGCAACTCAGCCACGCAGTCTTGCACCATGTGTGCAGGTTTAGCAGACCCAGAAAGCTGTAAACAACGACTACAACGGGCGACGTTCGCTGCATCGTGCCTGTCCGGTTTGGGCCTCAGAGCCTTATTCACAGTGACTGCATGCACGAATGAGCTTGGAAAATTCATCTTAGGGGCAATATTCTTGGAGTTGAGAAGCAGTGGCGATGCCTGGGTACCACGAACGCGCGGAGCTGCATGGTTGTCGCTTGCAGCAGGTATTTTCTGCTTGCAGGCATTGGCACCTCCCAGTGCCAAGCCACACGACTCCGAGACTTTGGCGGGTGTCGTGCATCGAGTTTGGACACGACTTGCCCGCATGCGGACGCTTTTGCAAGCTGCGGAGAACAGCAGATGTGGTGTGCCAGCACGAGCTGCAAAGACCTTAGGTGTTGAGCATGTAGCCACTTGGACACGATGCAAACCTGGTGACACTGGAGATGAACAGCGGAGCTCACCGCGGTTGCTGCCGCTCCGATCACAGGCTCGGTGCCAGCTCGACGAATCCGGAAGTAAGGCACAACATCAAGACAGGATCCACCAATGCAAGGACAGGATCTCCGTGGGGTGCGTGACCTTGCTTTGGCACTGGTTCTGGGAAGGTGTCCCTGCAGCCCAGATGGCAGAAAGGAATCATGATGCGTCTAAGTCTCTGCTGCATTTGCAGCAGGCTCAACACACCAACGACAGCATCTGCCGACAGGCAATACATAAAGTTCCTGCTCAAGCTGCTCAAAGGGTACGAGATCTACCTTCGGGATCATGGGCGATGCATAGCAAGCAACATGCGATCTCCACTTTCCGCCTCAGGCCAGTGCGTGATGCAGTTATTCCAGACAACTCAATGTCGGTAAAGGGGACAAAGGAAGATTTGCCCGGCCATATTTCGCGACGTCAAAAAGAGAATCTTCATCCCCTACGCAAAGGGCTGCCAGCGCGTTCTTCAAAAGGGATGCCTGGCCATCTATTTCCCGGGACCAGTGCTGACAGCAAAACTGGTTCCCAAGGTATCCCTGCCCCTGCCATCAAGCTTTGCTCTTAGTTACTATTGCCATGTCCCATGTGCAGACTGCACTGCATTGTCTTGTCTTGCAGCTCAGCTGAGTGATTCGGCGACGCTTGCCGTCTCTACTTGCTCTGGCGCCGACGAGACGAGCGCAGGTTTTGTTCTTACGGGGAGCAACCGTTGTCGATGCCTCGACTCAGCCAGGCACGAGACCCAAGACGCAGGATGCAATCTGGAGCCGGAGCGAGCATGTGCGTCATCCTCTCAGTGCGTTGTTAAGCGACGGCTCTTTGCAGTACCTCTATGGCACACGGACTAGGTGAGCCGCTTTTGGCCCTCAACGAGAACAACAATGTCCAGAGTTCAGGGCTCGCTGGGAAGCAGGCTGCAGCCGTGTGAGATAAGTTGCATGAATCACAAGTTAGTGCCGTGATTGATGTTGCACACAATGTCACAAGCCTTTGCAAGCAAGGCGTTCGCTCAATTTCAGTATTCTGTGCTTGTTGTGGTTGTGTAGATAGTCGAAGTGGCTAACTTTTGTTCAGCTTCTGCAGCCGCGGAATCTGGTGCCTCCCTATCAAGAAGCACCATAAAATAAGCACAAGGTAGAACAACGGTCAGCACAACACGGGACCTCTGACTGACCTAACCTGGCCTGCGGAACACACCGCACCCAATCTTCAAGGCAACCGGCAAAAGCAAGCAATGACGAGCCTTCGTTTGTGCACAGAGCCGATCCACCGAGCCGAACTCCGAGCAGCACCACTAATGTGACGAGGCAAAAAGGCTCAAAAAGCACCGCAACCTCAACAAAATACGACAAAACAGTAGCAAATAGCGCAGCACAGTTCATGTCAGAAAACGTCTCGTGATGGTTTTGGAGTCTCTTGCAGGGCTGCATAGGGCTCCTTGTCTAGCTTCTTCCAGGACGGACAGATGTGTGTCGTTCAGAAGCCTGTCGGTGGATGGTGCTCCGTGGTGTGCTGAGTCAGAAGAGGGTGAGAAGAGGGTATCATCAGGTCCCAGAGAGCGCTGGGAAGCTGAGGCAAATCCACTCTCCGAAGTTGCTGTTCGACGTATGCGCAGCCAGGCTCCAGGCTGGCACGGGCACCGGAATGCAACTGAGAAGTTTCGGGCCTGAAATTCAAAACGCGTACTGAATGTCTGACTTACTCCGCGATCTAACAGCTTGCAGCACCCCGCTGCATCATCGGCTGCGGGACGTCAACATTCCGACCAAGCGCTGAAGCGCAGACAGGCATGCAGACAGAAGCAGCTGAGACTCGCGAAGCGCCTTTGTGCCTTCTCGAATGTGTACCACGAATACAACCCGGAGTCGGAGTGTTCACTGCGCACAGACAAGAATGCTTCGATGCAAGGAATGGTTGGTGGTCTGCTTGTTTTTGATGTGGTCAAGGAGATTGAAACTGTCCACGGACCTTCTTCACATTCTGCAGCTGACAGGGTTTGTAACGTGCCTGAAGCTCGTGGGACTTTAAGTCGTGATTAGTTGTGCTGTGGGGGTGTCCTATGGTGTCCTCGCGTGCAGGTTGTATTGAACATTATTGAACACCAGTGGTGTGCCCTGAGTGCCCTGACACCTTCGCCTGTGAGTACAACAGGGACACATGTCGGTGGCCGTTGCTGCAATTCTTGTATATTTGGGTTCACATTTCCACACCTGTCAGGATGTCAGCCTATTCTGCACCCTTGCATGTTAGAGTTGCATACTGCAACCCCTGCAATGATTAAAAGAGCTTGAGATAGTAGGGTCTAAAAGGAGCTCCAAACCTTTGCATGGTAGAGGAGCCCGGACTTTGTGACACGGTAGGGCTCGGCTCCCTCGGGTGGCACCAGGAGCCGCTCCTGGGTTGCCCCGCGGAGCAAGCCAGGTCGAAGGTTGCCCAGGAAAAGCGCAACGCCATGGGTCGCTTTGCTGCAGCCCTTTGTAGCCCTTTTGGCCGGGCGCAACCGGAAGAAGCCGCCAGTGCCCCGGGCCAGGGCACAGCCGCAGCCGAGGCAGCGGCCTGACTTGGCGTGTTGTAGTGAAGTACACGGCCGAGGAACACGGCGCACTGCGAACCTTATGTCAAAGACCCGACTTCGCCGGCTAAGGCGAGGGCGCTGCAGGGCTACGTCTGGCCCGCCGGGTCCTCGAGAGGTGACACCACTCGAGCACATCCAGGCAGGCGAGCCCCCGCTGGTTTTAAAGTCCGTACCTCGAGCAACACCGGGGTGCGGAGAGAGTGCCGATGACCGCGAGCTGCGCCACGCAGCGACCAAGGACTGGAAGAGCACTACTTTTCGGCAGCGCCGTGAGATCCAGCAACTTCTGCGTCCCCGCCTGCCAAAATGCACCGTCCCAGGCTCGTGGCCTATAGGGAGCCTTGCTCTTCCTGCGACGAAAGGACCCAGACAAATCGTCCCGAGGCGAGAAAGCGCTGCTTGGCAAGGTTCAGTGGAAATCCTTTGTAAGCCTAATCCTCGAAGCAAGGGCTCGAAAGGCCGCAGCCGCCCTCAAAAAGGATGAGCAGCCTGTCAGCGATGGAAGAGTGATGGAAGCGGGCCAGGGCCAGACTGGAGCCCAGATAGGAACGACCCAGACGATTTGTCCTCAAAAGCTATTTAGCCTGCTTGCTCGAGCGAGCCGAGCAAAACCGAACTCCGATGCCGATGCCCAACCATGCCCTGAGCTTAGCTTTCCAGCCACAGAGCACAAAGCTGTACTACATACCTACTGGTCATGCCAGAGGGTGTCCCTTGGACGTCCTGTGCAATGCTGGGATCGGCGAGGGCATTGATGAGTAGCGCCTTCGATGGCAGGAGTACAGCCCAAAGGTTGCGAGCCGGTTCATCGGCAGCTTTTCTCTTCTTCTGGGAACCAAGCTTGAGCAGGACTTTGAAACCGAACTTGAGCGGTCCCTGCGGCAACTTGAGTCCGAGTCTGGGACAACAGCTGATGAGGAGTTCCTGCTTGGTGTCATCATCAATTGGCTCACGGACCAATCGTTGCGGTCCCACCTACTCCCACGTATAGGGAAGCTTCTGGACATTGCTCTATAGCGAGCCGGGTGATACAGCAGCTGCCCCAACCGATGGGCATTGGGGCAATGCCGAACAAAGGCGGTGGAAAAGGGAAGCACAAAGGAAAAGGCGGGGAAAAGGACATGACAGAGCAAAAGGGCGGGGAAAAGGCAGCCAGAGCTCAGGGGGTTATTGTGACAAACCAGTCCACAGCAAGGCTGAACGCTGAAAACGCATAACCGGAGAAGGCCAAAGGTGACAAAGACAAAGACAGAGCAGCCCGCCCAGGCGAAGGCCAAAGGAGAGGCGAATTGTGGAGGCGGCTCCCGAGGATGAACCCGAGCCAGGTTTGGCCACTCCGACCATAGTGGCCCGACACCGCCGCGGCTTCCGGAGATCCTTGCCCGCCTTTTTCTAGAAGGCATCCGGTCGGCAAGCTTCAGATCGAATACTTTGAATCGGAACATCAAGTTTTCGGTCATGTCGGTTGGCCAGGCTGCTGAAAACGGCCTTTGGGCTGTGCTAGGCCAGCCGGTGGCTTCCTCGTGCCACCTTTCGCTTCCGAGAAGCTGAAGCAAGCTGTGAAGGAGATCGAGGCCAAGCTTGCGCTGCACAAGCGCCAGGGCGTCCACCGGTTTCCCGTGAGCAAAGGCACAAACGCCAAAGGTGAGGAGCCCTTTGTGGTGGCAGCGACCCGTGCCGCAGAGAAGTTTGTGGCAGCGGCTCAAGGCTGCTTTGAAAGTGACGAGCCGCCACCCCAAATCTCAGAAGCCCACGAAAGAAGAAGATACCACCATCGAAGGACGAGGCCGCTCGAGGCAGCAGCGGAGATCTTTCTCGACTGTTGCTTTTTGAAAAGGGCCTTGGGGGCCGAGAAAGATCCCACGTGTGTGGGAGGAGTTTAAGCAGCCGAAAGACGAGCAGGAGGGCGCCCTACCGGTCCTCGTGGTCTACGACCGCAGATCTGGGACTACCTTTCGGGAGTAGTCAACAACAGTCAATAAAGGGGTCGATCCGTACATCCGTACGGCTTGGCCAACGTCAAAGCTGCGCTCGTGCCGAGGTACGAGGTACGACCGCGTATGCCAGCGCCAAGCTTCCGAAACATTGAAGGCCCTACTGATGTAGAAGGGCATCAGGCCAGTGTGTTGGGGGACTTGGCTATTTTTGCAGCCGACTTGGTTCCCGACCAGCATGTTATGGATCCTGCATCGGTGGCAAACTGCTCGTTGCTAGTTTTCAGGTGGCCGAGCCGGAGGCTCCTGCTAAGAAGCAGCGCCTAAGGCCTACCGCTACCTCGTAGACCAGGGGTTTGGTCCTTTGGAGCTATCCTCACTAGAGCTAGACGAATCCTCGGACAGGGCGCGGCAGCTGTCACGGAGCTAAACGTTCCCTATGAGGAATGGCTACAAGAAGTATACCGCCGTGCGCACGGCTACCTTTAGCGACGGCCTCACCTGGACGCCGCTAGTCTTGGTTCCTCCGGTCAAAGTTACAAACCCGGCGGGGGCCGGGCCCGTCTATGCAACGCCGCTAGCCCTCCGAGCGGAGAGCGCAACCGCAACTTGCTAGAAGCGGAGGTGTGCTGTCGAGGCTAGGGACAGGAGGAACGGCTACTGGATAGTTGGTCCAGGAAGCTACGTCAGCAGCTACGTGATGAGCTGGTGCGAATCGACTCGCCGGTCCTGGCCTCGCTACAGGGCAGCGGGCAGCCTACACCTGCAGATCGGGCCGCATTGCTGCTAACTGGAAAGACCAGAGCATCCACTATCCACACTGGAGGCTCTGGATCGCCGAGGCCAAGCTACGGAACCCTCCGCGGCGCCCCTCGCATCTTGTCGACTACTGCTAGCTCGGAGAGACGAGCCGGGTGCACGGTGCCCGACGCTATTATGAAAGCCATCGCCTGGTTTAAACTAACAGAATTAAAAGGTGGCGGAGTTCCCCGAAGAGCTCCGTGCTATCGGACGGAGCCCCCCCATCAAGAATGCCCCGCGCTACCCGGTCTACATGCTGGTGGGATTGGAGCGGCTAGTTCTGGATAATAGCAACGTTGTTGGCTGGAGAGTCTCGGCCTGGGCCCAGCTAGTAAAAGTGTGCTGGGTTGTACTACAAATTTAGTACTGGAAACTATTAGGGTTCGGGGTTTAGGGTTTAGACTTTAGGTTTCAGGGGCTGCCAGTGAAACGCCCACACTGGGATCTACATCGTTCCACATTGGGTAGTTTTGGCATTAACCAAGTTTTGCAAGCCAGCGGCAAGCCGTGTGAATCACCAGGAGAACCAAGCCCTTCGAGCTACACCCGATCAAACAGCTGCCTATGGTTGTTCCTCACTCCACCTCCGACCTTGCTGCAGGAGTCCCGGACAGAAGC